GATTTCCACTTGTACATTGGGCGTAACCCAGCTTACGTTGGGCGTACCCATCCGGACACGTGCATGCATCCCTTGCATGCATGGGACTTACTTGCCAAACATTTCCTTTAGGGACTAATATTGCCAATAACTTCAAAGTGCTATAACTTCTTCGTTCTTAGTCCGTTTCCGACGCACTTTATATCCACGAAAAGTTGGCGAGAAACCCTACGCTGCTAGCAACTCCTCATTACCCAAAACTTCCCAATCAAGAACCCGAAATCCCTAGAAGACTGAGATGTCAAATTAGGAGCATGCCCTTAACCTCCGAAGCCACAATCAAACACGTGGATCTCGCATGCCCTGAAACCCACTTCCGAAATGGAACAAATCCTTCCTTTCCCAAGGCCCTAACCCCATGACAACTGATGATTGGGGCCGCAGCCCCTAGCAGCGAAGCACTTTCAGAACCAGGTGTTACATGTGTTGCGTTCGCTACTCCGAAGTTTCATGTACAAGTACACACATTGTTGTTCAAGAGTGGTACTTATTGTTATCTTTATGACCTTAGATACTTCCCATTCAACATCATTCTAGTCCATCCACCACATGGACCATATAATGAATGGTTGCCTAGAAAAACTACTCAACTTCAGTGTTGACTTAAGCGCTTATCCTATATGTACGCTTCCAACATATTAGGCCATGGTACAAATTCATATTAGGTACACACCTAAGTCTAGGTTGTTACCCTTTCCCCTCTAAGTATGTTTCCCAATTATTAATTCACATACAAAAGGGCCATTTACATTTCATCATTTACACATAAATATATAGTCATGCATATCACATCATCATTATGTCAAAGCATATTATATCACTAACATGCATTGTATTTTTCATCATAGACAATTCAAGCTCTAGACAATCACAACATGCATACATCATACCACATAATCAACATATATCCCTCTTCTAGCATGAACCTACTCACCACTTTTCACATCAGAGCATCATAATATGAGTCTAACATGAAATACGTCCTAGACCTAGACCCGTCCCAAATGGTGGGCAATAGGGGCGACTACCCAGGGCCCATCGTTCCAAGTCGCCCCAAAATTTTATGGGAATGTAATATTAATATATAATCATTAATCTATTTAAAAAAAGATAAATTACAGGAAGCGAGAAGTGCCAATTTGAAAGGTCCGACTTGATATATTACTGGAAGTAGGAAGAGACAATACCATACACATACTTATTGTTGTTCATAAAGAAGGTGCATAGGTACAACCAAAATGGGGAAAACTGAATCGAAAAATTGTAAATTGATGGTCTATTAACTATGAAGCAATGAAGCAACGATAAAATGGATTAGTCTCATCTCAATTCCTAACTCTTAAAATGGTTAAAAGCTCATTGCATATATAGTATTATTAATCATTTCCTAAATATTAATGGTTAGAATCTCATTGCATATAGAATCTTATTAACCATTCTTGTCATTATAACATCAACAGAGAGAAGTTTTCAAAGTTGAATTTATTAAAGAGTTAACTAAGATCATCAATTTCACAAGAAATATTGAATGGTTTGATTAGTTTATGTATCCATAAAGATATCTTAGACAAGTTAATCTTGATACTATTGATTTAGAATAGAAAAGAAAATCAACTTCATTAGATTCGAACACATGACCAACCAGATAGAAGGCATACAACACAGCCACTAAACCATTTTTATTTATCTTGATAATGTTATTAATGATTTTATATCTAAAATTCTACAAGAAATATTTTTCTTTAAATTAGTACATTTTTGTAAATTGGTTGGTATACTTGTGTCTTTGAGGGGCCCTTTTATTTCCTCTCGCCCCGGGCCCAAAATATGTTTTGATCGGCCTTGACTAAACCACTATTTCACAAAAAAGAAATTAACATTTCCAGCAAAAAAACATCCACAAATAGGGTACATGCATCCTATAACATCCTGGGGCCAATTCACACATTCTAAGATATGAAATTTCTACAACATGGTACTAGATTTGCAACATAAGATGACTCACCTTAACCCTAATGGATGCCTCCGTTCCTTTCAAGTATTTCACTTATTTAAGGTTGTCAAGATCTCCCTTAAAAGCATGCAAATAGAAATCTATTATCAAGTGAATACTAATTACACAACCTTGACTACAATTCATGCTACTTTGTTGAGCTTTAGGATTTTCCCAGCCCGACCCATCTTCAGTGTTTTGAGCATAAAAAAGGATCCACAACTCCAAATTGGCTAATATCAGAGTTTCTGGAAACTAGGATTGATTTCCTACAACTTTGTTTTTTGGTGACTTTATCTAATTCGGACCAAAATGGCCTCTATAGCCCTTGCTCTCATGTCAACAAATCTGTTCAAATTTCTAATTTTTTTGACAAAAATCACCATAACCACCTAAATTGTCCATGAACTCAACAAATACCATTTATAAGGAATCAATACAGAAAAAGAGTTTTACAAATATATTACTAACCTCTAGAAATCTTAAGAAACAATAGGTGAGATTGGATTAGAATAACACCAATTCCACAAAGTATGCTTGAAGAATAAATTTTTTCTTCACTTGAATAAACTTCAAACCCCAAATAAAGAAAACCTATCATAAACACTCTCTAACTTGAGTCGTTGGCTGCAAATAGGCTTACAAACCTGTATTTTAGGGTTAGCCCTCTTTAAATAGTCCATAAAGTTCATATTTGACCCTCAAAGTATCATAAAATGACTCTTTAACCTATATACATGCTTAAGAATCATTTATTACACTTTGTCCCCCATAAATTAACTTTAAACCAAGAAAAATGTTAGTTTAATTAATAAACTTGGCGGAATACTATTCTTGTTTATAGTAGGGAGATTTGAGTCTTACAAAATTAGAGATCCCATGGAGCAATGAAAAAAGGGAAAATTTCATATATGTCCTTAAAGATCGAAATATCGTATTTGCCCAACCTAGTTTCAAAATATCATATTTAACCTTCATAAGATTTTAAAATATCAAATTTGTCCAAATCTTTAAATTTAATATTTTTAAAAATTTTATAATCATTTTAAATTCTTATCTTTATTAATTGACCATTATACCCTTTTATAAATATAACTAGAACATATCATTTATATCCTTCATAAACTTCCAAGTTTCAACATATCATATTTACTGAGTTCTAAATTTATATATTTTTTTCTAAAATTTGTCATTAAACGAAAACTAATGTATGAGTTTTACACCATCGATTGTGAATAAATAGTGTTTTAAATGCTCTTCGTGCTTTGGATTTCAATATATTGTTTTTTTTATTATTATTTAGTTGAGAAGATTGAATATGATGCTTGCTTTTATGGATCCTAGAATTGGGACAATAATGTAAATCTAGAGGTTTTTGTATTCGTTGCCCACAACGACAGACCCTATACTTCTTAGGGTTCATGGAAGCTCCTGTGATTGGCTCGCAATCAAAATTTCATTTCAAAATTAAACTTAGAACTTAAAAGCATCTTTAATGGAGATTTTTTATTAGATTAATGTTATAAATGTATACTAACAGCATAAAGTGTAGTAAAATTACGAATATCATGTTATTTGATGTTGCTTGAAGATAATAAAATTATAATCCTATGTGGAACTTACTTAATCAGTATAGGCATTACATAATGTATATTAATAAACTATATGACTTTTGAACAATCTAAATGTATCTCTAAGCCAGATGTTAACTTCTACAAATCCCTAAACATAGTTTGTGATGTGATTGTAATATAGGAGACAATTCCAACAATATAAGATTAGGGACAATATTGATATTTTAACTTTTTCTTTAAGCATAGTCATTTTAAAATTTCAAAATTCATTATAAAATTTTAATAATATATTAAAAATAAAGATTTGGACAAATATGATATTTTGAAAGGTTATCAAGGGTAAATATGATATTTCGAAATTAGACTTGACAAATGCAATATTTTGATGTTTAAGAATGACATATACGAAATTCTCCCATGAAAAAAAGTATCATGTTTTGGTTTTTAGCAACATCAAAGTCCTCATAATTCAATGCTCGGGTATGTTTTACTTTTCCAAAAATTTAATCTCAATTAATTATTAAAATGGAGGTCACTTGTGTATACTACTTGCCAATAAGATATATTCCTTACCCCTTCATGTATTTTATGATTAAACATAATTATGGATTTTATGAAAAAGGATACTACTTACAACTTTTAGTTTTTATGATAATATGAAATTAAACAAAATTCATTACGTTTTAGATAATTATAACAAAAATCATTATATTTTAGTTTTTTTTTTCTAATTTGGCACTCAAAATATGATGTCACCAAAAATATTTCATCCTCATACAATGTTATCAAATTTTATACGTTTAGCGGACAACATTATTGAGATATTAAATGGTCAAAATTATAATAAATTAATGAATAAACTATCTAATTTAAAATGAAGAAAAAAAACATAGTTTCAAAATTGAATATTCATATAAATTTTATTACTTTTGTGTTGTTTATATAAAACTTTATATAAAACTTTATCATGAAAAATTAAATATTATTCTATCTTCTATTTTGTATTATATATACTATCAATTCCTAAAAGCCTTAAAAGCCTTAGCAACAGTAAACTTCTTTCTCTTTCTTCATCTGCCGCTTAAGTTTTCCTTTTCATAAAACCACCCCAACTCTTCTCTTTTTTCCTTTCATTCTTATCCGTTTTGTGACCGCCTTGCCGCCCTCGTCGTCCAATACAATTTCCTTTGCTTTTCCTTATTTCCTCATTCTTCCCGATTTCTGCTGCTTCTTCTTAATATGCCTGCGTTTTTTTTTCCAAGAACAAGGTTGGTTGTCGATTAATTTTTTTCCTCAGTCGATTCCATCTACAACTTTCTTGGGTGATGTAAATTCCGTCTACGGTACTTTACTATTAATCTTTTCTTCTGTCTGTTTTGTTCTAAGCCTGCTGAATGTGTTTTCTTCCATTCCTCGGTTGTCGTGTTCTCAGAAGGAGGTTTCGTGCCTTGCTGCCAGACCTTAGATGGCTTCCTGTACATTCGCCTTCAACGCTGACGAAGCAAAGGCGGTCGGTGGAAGTGGTCGGCGGAGCGTCGACCCCTCCAACGTCTGGTATAATCAGTACCACCGGAGAAGCCAGCGCCATAGCCGGAGTCTACCGGAAAAAAGGTGTACGTTAAACCATTTTTCTATTTCTGATTTCCGCCTTCAGATTGGCTACGCCATCGATTGAATCTTTTCATTTTTGATTTTCAGATAGATGGAGGTCGGTTGCAAAATTGATTTTCTTTTTTCACTTCCGGTTCTAGGTATTACGTTTTTTATCCAACACACTTCTACACTTCTGTGAAATTGATGAAACGGCGGAATAGGTGCGGGTTACCCATGTTTTCTTTTTGCTTGATGCTCGCGCAGTTCGCATAGACTGCAATAGACGGTAACGGATTTTTCTTATGCTCATTACTTTATACCCCTATCTTATTCTGTGTTTTCCCAAAATAATTTACGTGTTTATATACCCTGTTATTGTTCATACCAATTTTTTTTTTTTTTTTTATGTTTTTTTTACATATAGCAAGAGGTTTTATTAAGTTTTGGCTCATTAACTGCTACTTAAGTTGTACCGGCACTTGCAGGGATGCGAAGGTAAATCCATTGATCTAAGTTGTGATTTGGATTCTGTTAGTTTCAGATTCCCTATTTGGCAATCAAGATGTAGTTTTTATTTGAAAAGTAAGCATTGTTTATAGTAAAATTTTACTTTTTGTGTATTGATTGAATGGAATTACAACTTTTTCCATAAAGAATTTAGTTGGAAATGTGGAAACGTAGCCATAACAGATTGTAACAGACCAGTGATTGCTTTGGTTGTTGTTCCAATTCACCACTAATTACTGCTGTTGACGAGCCATCAAAGGGCCTTAAAGTACAAGGCCAAACTATGAAGATATCTATTCTTTTAGATGATTTTTGTGAATTCTTTCACAAGCCTTTCGAAAAAAAAAGGTAACTTAAATGTCAATTATTAAATCAAATGTTTTTTTTTCTCGAACTAATGTAACCATATTTTTTTTTCTAATGATGTAGGCAGAGTTATGAAGGTTTTGAAAGGTGGAGCCTCTCCCAGATGGATCTGGTCACTTCTTTAATCTGAGTAATCCTTTTTTTTTTTTTTTTTTTTTTTTACTATTTTCAGTTCTTAATCGACTCTTTTCTTGGTTATAGATTTAACCAAACTTTTTTTTTTTTTTAAATTTCTGTTTGTGGTGAAGTGCCTGAACTTGTGATTAAAATAAAGGACAAGGATGTTCGTTCTGAAGATGATCTTGTGGGAGAGGTTAAGTATATACAATTTAATCAAAGCTTTGATATCATTATGTATTTTTTTTAACTAACAAAAGGCATTTTGGTCAGTCCTAGAAAATAATAGGTATTTGAAACCCATTTATAATTTTTCTATTTGGAAATTTTTACAAAATCAGCACTTAAGGGATCTCAAAGCTGCAAGAGCTTATCAAGACAGTCCTCACACTCCTGGGCCATGGGCATGAACAATTATGCTTCTGGCTCTCAACTGTTGCAGCCAGTTTAGTCATCATAGCATGTCTAGCAATCAACCGGTCTGCCCGACTGCATAGAAGGTAATAACAAAGAATGAGGTCCACGAAATGCATTTTTATGCAGTCCAACTTTTTGAAGGGTAATTACTGCTTGAGAAAATTTACAGAATGCAACAGCAGAGGCATCCATTCGCAAACTTGAGGTTTGTGAATGAAATTTTAATTTTTTTTTTATTATAAATGATTCTTTTTTGTATGGGTAGTATGAAAAATGAGTGATTTGTTTATAAAATGCAATTGGAGAAGAAGAAGTTAGCATCTATGGATAAGGTCTAGAACAAGCATACAGGGGAACAAATGAAAACTCGAGAAATGAGAAGTAGAATGTCAGAAAGTGTTGCTCCAAGAGATTCTTGGAAATTTAGGAGGTTTCTCAAGAATTCAATTGGTGGTTGTTTCCATTGTCATCATGATTGCATCAGGTTAAATCATTTTAATTTTGACCTAATAAATGAAAGGGTTTCTGTTGTATTTTGCTGATAGGTTTATGGTGTTATGATTATGCAACAGGTTAACAGAAAGTTGATGATGTGGCAATCAAACCATTTGGATAATTTGTAGTTTCCTTAAGTAAATTTTGTTATAGCCTCATTTTTTTGGAAGGTAAAGGGGAAAGGGAGGGGGTAAATACGTAAATTCCAATATGCATGATTGGAGCAAGGTACATAATAGAACTTTTTGGGATTGTGTTTGACTTTGCTTCATTCATTGCAGGTAGATAGTTGGTCTTTAGGAATGACAGCAACTGAAATGGCAAAAGGGGAACTTTCATTAGCAGATCTTCGTCCAATGAGAGAAATTTTCATTATACCCAGAGAAAGTCAACCTAAGGTCCTGACTTTTCCCTTTATTTCATCATTTATCTGTTTTTTTCTACATTTTTTCCTAATTTACTTAGTAATTTATTTTATTTTAAATTCAGGTTTGAAAACTGCATGTGCTTATTGATGCATTCTGGGTGAATCTGCATCGGTTGTACATTCAAGAGACATTGGAGTATATTTCAGCACTCAATATAATGCCAATATGAACACACTTGAGAGGAAAAAAAATACTGGTAAAGGGAAAAATAGTCATTTTACTTGGTTAGGGACCAAAGCCATAAAAAATGGAACCACAGCTGCAAGTTGCAAAAAAAAATATATATATATGGAGAGAACGAGAGGATGGTAAGTGGGAGGATTGGCCGAATATATTTGGTGAATTTAGTAATGATTCCATCAACACATCCTGATTTATCCCAAGGTAAATTAGTTTTCTCTCTTTTCTTTTCTATGGTAAATAAAATAAAAAATAAAGTTAAGAGAGCTTTTATCATGTTATAAATGCAGGGGAGAAAGGGAGGAGGTACAAAATCCATATGTATGTATCTATAAAACCCAATTCTTAAAGATTCTTAGTGCTTGCTGAAAGAAAAAAAGATATAGATAACAACAATCTTTGGGTGGCTGGCGTAATGTTGGCACTTGACACTAAAACTAGCTAGCTAGCTACTTATCTTTTGCTGCGTTAAAGTATTTTGCAGTATATGTAATATGTTTTCATAAATATTATAATATGTTCTATCTTTTGCTACAGCTGGAAATAAGGAAGAAAAAGAAACAAGGCGCCAAAGGGGCAGGTAATTCCCATCTAGTTCATATAAAACCTTAACATGTGAAATTTTTATTCTTTCTTTTGGTTTTTTTTTTTCATTTTAACCATTATCTTGATCTAATAAATATGAAGATAAACATGAAGATGAGTAAAGAAAAATAAAAATAAAAATATATTTGATTTCTCTTATAACATTAAATCTCAAACGTTGCTTTAGCATTGTAGATCGAGAGAGGACCACTCTAATCTTTCCACGTCTACCTCTATATAGAGTTTGGGAGTTTTGATATATTTGTCTTCTCCTTGTATTTATTAAAGATACAATATATTCTTTTTAAATTGTTTTATAATATTCTCTGTGGGGTTGGCATTTCGGGTTGATGTGTCACGACCGACCCGAATTTAATTTCCATGTCATTTTTTTTTCAAGCCACTTTTACATATTCTCCTCTCATGTCGGTTAGCCTCAAGTAAATAATTACGTTCGTTCTAAAAAAATAAATAATAATTTACGTTCGTGTTGTGTTTTCTACGGTGTCATTATTGGGCCCGAAGAAAAACATGTTACTTTTCATAGCATAATAAGCTTTTGGCTTTTCTTTTTATTGGAATTTTGTTTAAATCTTTTGTGGTATTTTTAATGGTTAATCTTGTCATTTTTTTTTTGTTTTTGTTTTTTTTTTTTGTTTTTATCACTATCATATATTCACTAACATTTATTGATAAAAAGGCTTTTGTTTTAAAGTCTTAAGAGCTGTTTTCACTTACCAATTTACTAATTTATTCTTAAATAGTTAAGTGATCATATAAGATTTACTTATTGTCTATAATCGGCTATATTTCCGACTCACATGAATTTACTAGCAGATAATAATACATACAAAACATTTTCAAATGTACATAGAAAGAAATCGAATTTAACGGAGTTGTATAGAATTGTTAAGATTTTTAGGTGACATTTGGTTTGCATAATATTTTTTTGAAGGAATAAAATATGACAAATAAATTGGAATCTGAAGAATAATGTGTTGGAATGGCGCTTTGGTATTTTTTTTTTTTAGAAAGGGAACTTCCCTAATAGGTTAGATAATATTTTTTAGTGTATACATGTATACTTTCTTTTTCGGTGTAGTCAATAAGTACCTTATATATTTGGTCTTGAAGATTATAACCAATTTTAAAGTTGAGTTTATTTTGAAAAAAAGAACATTTTAGGTCTACAATGGAAACAACTACAAAATATAGGGTCTTTTATGAAACAAAAATACCTAATTTACCTATTGGTGACCTGCTAGGGTCTGAAATAACAAGTAACACATAAAAGTTTGGTCTTTTTCGGAAAAGAAAAAAAGTCAAAATATAGGGTCTTTTATGGAAATAACCCTAGAAAAAACATCATAAATGGTCCCAATGGTTTCCCCACATCTGAAACTTAGTCCCAAATTTTCAAATATTTCATAGATGATCCCTATGCTTTCAAAAATTTCGTGATTGGTCCTTAACCCTCACACCGTTAGAACCCAATCGTTAACTCTTAATTTATTAAAATAATATAAGGGCAAATTGGTCTTTTCACTTGTACCCTCTTCTTTATAACCAAATACATGTCTGATCATTTTGAAAACCTTTCTCGCACCCTCATCTACTCTCACTCTACTGTGCATCAATTTGGAAAACTCTTCTGCAAGTGTCGAAGATGTCGATTTGTAGATGTGGAATCGAAACAACGAAGGTGACCTCGTGGACGGATCGTAACCCTGGAAGGCAATTTTGGAACTGTTCAAGATGTGGGTTGACCCTCGGATGTGTGCTAGGGCATTGGTGGTGATTCTAGGTTTGATAAGATCAATGAATCGATTGGAAGAGAGGGTTGTGATTACAAGTGCAGGACTGTGGAACTACCAGCTGATGTTGTTCTGTTCATGGATGTTTTTTTTAACCAGTAAGGTGGTTGTAGGATTTGGATGGTAATGGGATGGGTGTTTTTGGTTTCTTTTGTAAGCATCTAACTAGTTCAGGGGTTTTTGGATTGTGATGGAATGGGGATTTTGGGTTTCATTTAGTTGTATGAAGGTTTATGTAACACATTAAGTAAATGGAAGTTTAATGTAATGTAGTTTGTAATAAATCAATAGTTTTGATGTGCATTTTCGTAAATACATTGTTATAACTGCATCTATTTGAATGGTTAGGAATGGTATTTCAAATGTACATTGTTATACATGCAACTTTTTGAGAATGGTTTGGAGATGGTAATTCATAAGCAAATTGTTGATAAAACCATTACATACCAAAGATTAAACATGAGACTTAGTTTCAAAATACTTGTCAATGGAAGGTCTTAACCCATACACACATTACAAATTTAAACAACCAAACCATAATTTATGCTTCAAAAGACCTAATTACCCAAACATCCAACTAACTACTTAACAGAATTTCCATCCCCTTCCCCTTTCCGTGTGTCTTCCCCCGTGCTCCAACTTCACTAATGCCTCCCTGCCCTTTATATGTTCTGGAACTGTGCCCCTTGTTATGACACTTTGAACATGTGATTGAAAGAATTTTTCTGCTCACTTTAGTGGTTTGGCTATTAGGCTCATCAACAACTCTCATTCTCTTCTTTTTTGGCCTCCCAACCTACACATATGCATATATTGTAGGTAAAACATAAACATACATGTTGACATTCAAAGTACATATTTAGCCTAGTTGAAATAACAACCTGTGTGTGATGTTTTGGTGGAGTTAAATTGAATGGATAGTTACTTTTTGGCCACATTGAATGACCATTTATTGGATCAATTTTGTTCAGATACATGGCTCTGCATGTTGATAACTTATAGCAAGGATAGACCCAATCCACAATATCAGGGGCATCTTTTCCATTTTCAATTTTGTTCCATATAGCAGAAACAACATGTCTACATGGAAAACATGTAATCTCCCACAACCTACAAGTGCAACTTCTTTCATTTAAGTTTACCACATATTGATCCTGCCATGTGCTTGCAACTTGGTACTTTCCTGCCCCATTATACTTAGCTACATACTTTGCTGCTTCAGTCTTAATCTCCTCTAAAATTATAGTTACAGTAGTACTTAGTTCCCATTGACACTTATCTATCACCTTTTTCACAACACGCAATCTCTTCATGAGATACTCTCTAATATACTCTAAGTAGGTGATGATTGGTTTATCCCTACCTTCATCTATCTTAGTGTCACAACTAGGAATTCTGATACGTTGTAAACACTTAACAAAGAATGACATTGTAGCTAGAACTTGAAAA